AGGCAGACGGACTTTTATTCCCATTGGAAACCTTTTGTACCTTTGGCCCAGGGTTTGGAGAGAAAGCGAGTAGGCGTGGCCACATGGGGTGAGGGCCGGAGGATAGTTCCCACGGCCAGGGCCTGTTTACAAACAGCTGCTTCCACTGCTCAGAATGATGCCGGACAGGACTGGGCTAGGGCCCCTGTTGGTTGGGGACGAGGGTTTGGTGGAGTGGGCAGCAAGGTGAGGCCACTCACATTGAGTGTCTGAATGGATATGGCAGGAGGAGGTTTCTCATGGTCTACCTTGGGGTCACGGGCACAGACAGGTAGAAAAGTCCAGGGGAGATCGGGAGAAGTGTCCCTGATGGCCAGGGCAGGGCTGTGTGTCATTGATCAGTTTCAGAAGATGTTCAGGTAGAAGCCGGCTCTCATTGGTAACCGACGCTGACATCTGTGATTCTAGAACACAGAGATGTGTTCTCAGGTGCTGACCTTGCCTGTGCGCCAGCTCGGTGGGGACAGGGAAGCGCGTTTAGAGCAGAGCCTGCGGGAGGTGGGTGGGGTGGGATCTGGGGAGAAGTGGCTCTAGAGCCTGCACTGTCCCTCGCTGCTGCTCTCTTATCTCCCTCACTATCTGCTTCCTAGTCCCTCGGCTCCTCTGCCATTCCTTGCTGCCTTTCTTGTGAAGCACACAGCACCCTGAACACATGGGGAGAAGGTGGGAGTGGCAAGGCTTCCAGGGACCCTCGGTTTTGCTGGCCTTGCGCTGCCACGGGCCATGGGCGTGCTGTTGGGAAGGGCTGGAGCAGGTCCTTGAGAGCGGAGTGGCTGCTACTTACTGCTCCTGTGACCACAGCGGCCTCGCAGGGGGAAACCTCACAGGGCCTGTGGTTGGCGCTGGGCTGAAGGCCGGCAGGGGTGGGTCTCTCCATGCAGTAGCACACGGGCAGGCAGGAAGTGGCCCTGTGCAAAAGCGGGAAGTGGCTGGTTGTCAGACAGGAAGGGGGGGTGGGGGACTGGGCTGTTGGGGGCGGGGATGAGCCCTGGAGAAAGATGGATGGGAAGAGGTCAGCCTTAGCAGGACTGAGCTGTTCCAAGGAAAGTGAGCGCAATGCCTGCTGGAAGGAAGGGTGTCTTAAGAGAGGTGGCCCCTTTTCCTGTCATCGTCCCTGGGCCTCTCCTACCCAGGGCCCAGGCCCAGTCCGGTGGCCTTGTCCCCCTGGGGGATAGAATGCCGACTTTAGCCAGGACATCGCTTGCCATGAAGAAAGATGCTCTCCAAACCGTTACTGGTGTCTGCCATGTAGCTGCTGCTGTGTGGTGGTGCACACGGTTCCCTCACCCTGGCGGGCAGCGTGGAAGGACAGGAGCCGGCAGCCAAGATGGCGAGTGTGGAGGAGTGCCAGTGGCTTTTCCCCGGTTGCTGTGGGCACATGGTCTCATCAGGCAGGGAGACCCAGTGCCCCACCCCCACCCCCCAGCCTAAGGCTCCTGTGGAAGACCTCCCTCCCAGGAAGCCCAGGTCAGGGAGAGTCTAGTTGGTGCCTTGTGAACCAACCAAGCCAGACTGGGAGGGGAGTGGACCGCCCTCTCACCAGTCTCTGGCGAAGACCAAGTCCCTGAGCCTGGCCTAGGCGACCTCCTCCCGCTCCTCCTCCCTGGGCCTTGGGAAGGAGGCGCTTACTCTGCCAGGCACGGTGCGAAGTTAAGGCAATGTTCTTGAAAGGGTGGTTGTGCCACATCAGTTGCCACCTTTGGCAGTATGCGTGTCGGAGGCCGGCTGTGTTCCGTGGGCCTTTTAGTGGGCGACGCCTTGGAAGTAGCCCACCAGTCCTTTCTTCAGAGGCACTTCCAGGTGGGCACCGCCCAGCACACCGCTCCTGCTGTGCTGCGGACCTGCCCTATTGTGCTGTGCCATCCAGGCGGATCTCGTGGTGACCAGACCTGGCAAAACGCGGGGTCTACTAGGCAGCCAACTTGATGGCACAGAGCCCCAGGGCTTTGCTCCCACAGCCCCCGGGGTTGCTTTGAACCAGACCTTGTGGTTTTCTACCCAGCGCTTAACTACTGTGCCACCAGGGCTCCTCCTTGCCCGTGACCTCCACTCATCTTCAGGGAGAGCCAGCTCCGCTGTAGAAGTGAGGAGACGCTTCCCCAAGATGTGTGCCTGGCCCCCTCTGGCCCCTCTTACAGGTCCCCTCTCCCCCTGCCACCCTGTTTCAATGCACTCTCCCCTCTCCCCCACTTGACTTTTCTACTGGGCCCTTGACACAACACACAGCACCACCAAGGAGGCTTTCTCATCGGCCCCACCAAGCACCGCCATGGGGACAGGGACCTGAGTCTGTTTAGTTCACTGCTCTGTCCCCAGCACCCAGGATATTGCCTGTCTCACAGGCCTCGGTCAGTACTTTCTGGCTGGAGGCGGGTTTACTAGCGGGCCTCGTGTAGACACCCCCGGCCTGTCTGACTCCCCAGCCGACGTGCTTGCTGCTGTTCTTCATGGCTTGGAGTCAGTGCAGGCAGGGGTGCAGCCCAGAGGACATGCCTGGGAACAGGCTTAGACTCAGTGTGGCTAATGAGGACCCTTTGAACCCTGGGCAGCGCCTTCCTTCGAGGAATGGAGGGCGCCCCCCACCTTCCCACTCTGAGTCACTGGTAAAGCCAGAGCGCCCTTATTTTTAGTGCTGTGGCTCTTGGGGGGCTGTAACCATTAGCCAGTAAGAGTCTTAAGGGAAGAGATAAACATTAATCTTCTGGGCCTTCCCCTCAGCTGCCACCAACGCATTGCAAGATGCTGTTCCCCGCACCTGCCCAGCAACAGGCCTGAGAGCTCTGGGGGGAGAGGGTGGGAAGGTGAGGGACTGGGGAGAGGGAAGATGGGTCTCAATCTTTGAGGCTGGCTAGCTTGGGACCTCCATCCCAAGTTCAGGAGGTGCGGGGAAGTGAGCCAGCTTAACCTCTTCCCGGCCAGATCTGGACAAAGCAAGTCCTTCAGCCACCAGGCAGTGCCTGTGCTGCCTCCTCCCCTGCTCAGCTTCTGAAGGGCCCCAGCTTTGAGGGGTCGGGGTCAGGTGGGATGGCATTTACCTGGGGTCCTCCTGGCAGTGTCCTGGGTGTAGCCGGGACGCTCAGTGGTCAAGCTGAACCCGAGGGTGGGCAGGAAGGCCTGACCCAGATTTTGGGCAGCTGAGGTGGATTAGCTGGGCAGCAGGAACTAATCTCTGCTTGTTCCCACCTCCTTCCTCTACAAAGCAGAACTGTCACTGGAGGAAAGTCTGGGACAAAGCCAGGGGTGGTGTGGTGCAGCAGTAAATATGAATTCCTTCGACCTTAGAATCCTCACGTTATTTCTAGCTGACAGTCCTTGCCCCTTTCCTGGGGCGAGTTTCTTAACTTCTCTGGACCTCCGTTCCATTTGTCTGTCAGAGGGGACCATGATCGCACCTGCCTTGCAGGATTGTTGAGAAGGTTCAGGGGGCGTGGGAGCTTTCACAGAGGCTCACTAGGGTTTAGGGTCGAGGTGAGGCTGAGAGAAGCCCTTGCCACAGGAAACAGGACTCACTTGGCAGGTGCGGACACGAAGGCATCAGCCCCGGCCTGTGAGAAGCTGAGGTGAATAGACTGGACCCCCAAAGTTTCCATGTCTCATTTAGCCAGTCAGCATAGCATCGTGGTGGAGAACGCGGCCCCCAGGCTCGGACTAACTGTGTCTGCCACCTAGCACTTTGCCCTTGGGTGAGTGGCTTGATGTTTTTAGCCTCCGTTTCCTTCTCTGCGGTGTAGCGGGGCTTATTGGAGCTCTACTTCACAAGGTTCTGCAAGGGGAGAGAAGTAGCCCGTGCCTCTGTGTGGCCTGCGGTGAGTGCTCAGCCAGTGACTGCTCCTGTGGCTGATGCTCTCAGACGAAGCCCCTTTTGCAGAGGGAACCCCCCGAAAGCAGTACTCAGAAAGGTTTGCCCAGAAAATAACAAAGCAGACATATCAGGGGCAGTGGGCGATGGGGGGGTCACAGGAGAGGGGGCTCAGCCTCTGCTGAGAGGCACAGGGGAGAGAGGGAGGGCGGTGGCTTTGGGCAGGAGAGCAGCGGGTAGAGAATGTGGCCGGCATGCTGAGCGAGGTCCCCTCTTGGAGCGCGCCCTCTCTGCACTTGCTGCAGCTCTGGGAAGAACGGCCACTCAGCTTGCGTGGCCCTGGAGCCTGGGCCATGTCCCCGGTGTAGAGTAGCCCCGGGGAGAAGCAGGGTTTGTGTCACAATTACCCTTCCTGTGAAATGGACATAAAATAGTGACCAGTCCCATGGGGCTGTAATGATAGTTTTAAACTCAAAGATGTGCTTGCCGGTATTCTTGCAAGCTCTCAGTCAATGTCATCTGGAGTCCCTGCGTGGAACAAACAGTTCATAGGTGTGGTGGCTGCTAACAGAAAGGCTAGATGTTTGCCTCTCCCCAGAGAGGCCACCGAAGGACAACCTGGTCACCTGCTCCTCCCTCCCTCCCAAGCACTTCCCCTGCCCCCATCAGTAAAAAAAAATCAGTTATTGAAAATCCTGTGGGGTACAGTTCGACTCTGACAAGCATGTCGGAATCAACTTGACAGCAACCGATGCTTCATTTTAACTTTTCATCATCGCCATCGTCATCATTGCGCTTTGAGGGTATTACAAGGATTAAATGATAGATCATTTATGCCACGTTCTTAGCACTTTGCCTAACCACGTAGTAAGTGCTCGGGTTTGGGGTTTTTTTTTTAAGCTAGCTGTTCCTGGTGTTTGTAGCAAGAACGAGGTACTGGAAACCCACGCCCAGTGAACTCTTGTTGGGATGTGAGTTCTAGATCTGGATTCGGACTCTTGCTGGGCAGCCCCTCTCTGGCTCACCTGAGAAAGGTGGCCAGGAGAACCGTCTGGCAGGACATGAGGGTACGGAGCTGGTGCCTCAGAACCGATGGCGGGAATAGGCAGGTGAGCACGGATCAGGAGTTAATGGCTCTGTGTCTGTCCTCTTCTGCTCTTAGATCACCAGAAACTCGAACGGGAAGCTCGAATCTGCCGGCTTTTAAAACACCCCAACATTGGTAAGTGTCCCCGCAGCGCGTCTTTGGTGGCTGCTTTGTAGGAGGAGGGGGGCTGCTGCTTTTGTCTGTGGTCCTCACCTGTTACCTTTTTTTTTTTTTTTAACCAAGCGAAGGGGGGCAGCTGGGTCTTGGTCAACACTATCGGGTTTGTGGTGTGGAGACCCGGGTATCTCTCCCCTCGTGCTGCTGCCTCCAGCCTGGGGGGCACGAGGGATCCGAATGGGTTTCTTTTTGGTTCTCTCTTCCCTTTCTTGGGGTGCATTCCAGGCCCACACTGTGTGAGGCTCCGGGCTAGGAGCCTGCCAGCCTCCCTCACCAAGGGCCGTCCAGGGCCTTCAGGAAAGGCTCAGTCAGGATTTTGTTTTTGGACTTGAAAGAGTTTTGTTCCGCTGCAGTGCCGCACACATTCTGGGGTTTCCATGGCGCCCCGTTTGTCCTCCCCAGAGCCAGGAAAGCCAGCTGCCCGCCCGCGTGGCTTCTCTGCGGAGGGGTGGCAGAGCCGCTCAGATTGGGAAGGAGAAAAACGAAGAGTATTTCTCCCTGCTCCCACCCTAACTGGGGGACAAGACTACACTGTTCGTTATTCTAAAGCCTGAGGAGGTTTGCCTGCCACAGCCCACTCCCGCTCAGTTTTACATTGTTCGTCTGAAATGGTCTTTGGCAAAATAGTTGGCCCCAATTTAGTGCTCCTTGCAGAAGGAGGGACAGAAACTGGGCTGGCTGCAGTGTCTGAGTGTCTCTTGACTTGAGCCAGAGTGGCTACATCTGCTAGGTTTTCCCTAAAAGCTCCCAAGTCCCCACAAAGGGCAGCATATGCTCTGTGCACCTTGGGCACAGCCTAACTATCGCCCCCGGGCTCAGTCCTGCCACCTGCTTGGTGGCAAAGGCTGAGGGTGGACTTGCTGAAGCTTGATGTTTCCTCCCAAACTACTCAGCCTCTGGCATCCCAGATCGCAGGCTAGACCACTGCTCTGAGGTCATACGCCAACCCAAGGAGCGGCTCGGAGGTAACCAGAACTCAAACCATGCAGGGCTTTATAGATTGAAATCAGTAGCTTGGATTTCACCTGAAGCAGACTGGTGAGCCAGCGCCCAGCTCTGCCTGGCACAGCGTGCCCCACGGAGCCAACACCTCCAGCCTCTGGATCCTCGTCCTGGAAGGGCTGGAGTGCGTGGGTGGTGTTGCCTATTGGCTGGTGTGGCACACCGAGAAGAACATTTACAGCAAGCACACCCACAGACAGCCAGACTCGGTGCCACCTCGTTGACTGTGACTCCCCGCAGCCCACGTGACGCAGAGGAGAACTGTTCCAAGGGGGCTCCCTGGGCTGTGGTTTTGATGGAAGCAGTTTGCCAGGCCTTTCTCTCACGGCACCAGGGGTGACGGGTGGTGGCCCAACTACCCACCTTTAGGTTAGACGTTGCGCACCAGACCATTTACACTATCTTGACCGGGGTCGCCAGTGCTCTGGGTGGCACAGTCTGTGATGTGAACCAGCGGCTCTGCAGGGGCAAGATGAGGCTTTCCGTTCTCAGAGATCGATAGCCTCGGTTTGACTCAATGGCAGTGAGATTTGGGGGGGGAGTGGAGGGGTTTGTTTGTTTGGCTGCAGTCACTGATCGAGGCATGGTTTATTTGAGTGGCTCTGTGGTCTAAAATGATTTTTGTTACTTGCCAATATTTAAAAACAAAGAGACTAAAGAGTATTAAGAAGAAAAAAAAAGATTTCCTGGCCTTTCAAATCAGAAGAGTTGGTTGGCCACACACGGCAGAGCCCACTGGAGCAGAGCCACTCTCCTTGCCACGCCCTGTTGTCTCAGGGTTCAGGGACCTGCCTGGCCCAGGAGGCTTTGTGAGTGAGTGACCTCTGGCCTAGGAGTTGCAGAACAGGAAGAAATGGCCCGGGAGTGGAAGCCGTCCGCAGACAGTATAGGCTAGCTCTCTTTGGTGGGTCTCGTGGCTGCCTTTCTCTTCTGCACTTTCTGGCCCACTTTGTCAGCCATGATGACCACCCTCAAACAGAGAGTGAAAACCAGACCTACGAGACGAGAGGTCGAGCCGTGCCTGCGTCACCTGAGACAGACTTGGCTGTGGGAAGGTCAGGGTATGATGGAGACAACGGGAAACAAACAGGAAAGACAGAAATGGAATTCTAGCTGGAGGAAGGACCTAGCCTTGTTTGGCTGTGTTTCTAGAAGCAGCCTGCATACTTTGGACCTCTGAGGCCATGCTTCGTCGGGTCCAGTGAAATCCTGGGGGTATCATGTCGAGTCCACACTGACTCAGCCTTGACTGTGTGTGAGTCAAAGCAGAACTGGGTTCTGTAGGGTTTCCAGTGGCTCAGTTAGATCACCAGGCCTTTGTTCCGAGGTGCCTGTGAGCAAACCTGAAGTACCGTCTTTCAGTGAACAGCCATACCCTGACCCTCTTTGGTTTGGTAGCCCTTTCCTTTGACCAGCTGCCCCCAGGCCGGAATAAGGCAGACTGAGGATGAGAGTTGTTTCAGCGGCCCAGGAATGGCCACAGGAGATGGTCACAGTGTCAGATTTTAGTGGTGTAGTACTGTGCCCCTTTTAGCACTGCTCCCAGATCCCAGGGATGCTGGTCAGGGGCCCTGTCCCAGGGTCAAGGGCAGGGAATGGGAAGTGAGGCAGGACTGTCCTGGGAGAGCTGGCTGGCTGAGCTCTCTGGCTTCAGTGGGAACGAGTCTCGAGGTGGAGGGGTTGCTATGGATCCTGGCCTGGCTTGTGGTGGAAGAGGAGGCCATCTGTGCCCTTCATTCAGGATTCCTCCCCTCTCCTCCCCTCTCCTCCGTGGCTCTCTGCTTCAGCACCGTGGCCCTGTTGGCGCCTGCCTCCTTAACTCCATCCTGTAGGGATATAAATGAAGCCAAACGAGGCGAAACCGAGTGTGCTGTCAGACCCAGGCCTCTGAGTGTAGAAGGGGTCTTTGTTTCACGAAGTCCTGGGTCCTGCAAATGGTAAACACGCTGGGTTGCTAACCAGGGGGTCGGAAACTTCAGTATTCCCTCCAGAAACACCTCAGAAGAAAGGTCTGGCAGTCTCCTGAAAGTCAGTCATTCAGCATCCTGTAGAGCACAGTTCAACTTTGACATGGGGTTGCCACGGGGTCGCCATGAGCTGGAGTGGGTTGGACTGCGACTGGGTAATTGAGGCTTCCCCAGTTTCCTCCCTCAGAGAGAATCTGTACCAGGAGTTAAAAGTCTGTTGGTTACCAAGTTGCCGAACTCACAGTGGACCCAGAGAGAGTACCGCCAGAGCCGGGGAGCTGAGGGAGGCGACCCAGTGTGCGGGCTGTCTGAAGTCTGAGTGGAGTGGGTTCCGCCTGTGATCTGCTTGCTCCCTGCTCTCAGTGCCTCTAATGAATAGGCTCTGTCTGCCTCCGTGCTGAGCAGCCCCAGCAGTTTTCCATCATAGCGGAGCACTGTGGTTCAAGCAGCACTTCTCACACTTTAATGTGCATCACCCCTGGGGTCATGTTAAAATTCCAATCCAGTCGGTCTGAGCTGGGACCTGGGATTCTGCGTGTCCAGCCATCTACAGGTGCTGCTGCTGCTGCTGGTCCATGGACCAGACTTGCTAGAGCAAAGGTCCGTGTCAGGGGTTGTGGTGTTGCACTCACCAAGTTTGAGTGTGGGATTTGCTAGTTTGTGTCTGAGCTCTGGCCATTTCATCTGCCGGTGACTCTGTTTCCCCATTGGTATCCCTTACCAGAGCTGTTTGTGTCTGGATTCAGCAAACAAGAGAAGTCTACGAAAGGGAAAGGAAGAGGTCCCTACTTATGGAATTGATCTCTCTTGGACCCCCTGGCCCAACTCAGGTCACAGGTTTCTTAGGCCAGGCTCCCGTTAGCCTTGGACCTGGGGCCCGTGAAGGTGACAGGTGACACTTTGGGCATCTAACCCGAGGGCCTGAAGATTCAAGGAAGAGCTGGCACTCTGCTTCCTAAAAATCAGCCATTGAAAATCCTATGAGACCCGCACCCCTGTGACACACGTGGGGCCCCACACCTGGTCGGGAGGGGCTGGAGGGGGATCTGTGAGTCAGAATCTACTAGTGGCAACTGTTGTTGTTTTAAATGTTGCAGAGAAAAAAGGAAGCGTTGAATGTACCTGCAGCTCCTCAGTCCCTGTCCACGGTCTCTCGCCGGCCCTGACGATGGGACTGCCTTCCACCTGTATTTTCACTGCAGACTATTTTTTTGGAGGGATAGGATTCAATTTTCAGAACAGTTTTAGAATTACAGAAAGAAAAAGAAAAATGTGTGCAGCAAGTATACAGAATTCTTGTGTACCTCCTCCCCCAGCACATTTTTCTCCTGTTCACACTTTGCATTCTTGTAGCACATGTATTACCAGTAATGGCTCGGTATTGATAGATGTTTATTACCTGAAGACCATAGTTCCCATTAGGGCATCTTCCTCTGAGTTTTGACAAATGCATAGTGTCATGGGTCCGCTGTGCAGTAAAGGGCAGCCTTGTTTACAGTGACTTCTTTTTTTTTTCTTTCAGTTCTTTTCGGACAAAGATCTGTTAGTTAAAATGTGGGATATTATCCGGTAGTTTTTAAAGAATTGGAACTAGCTACAGTGTTTGGTGTGAAGACATTGAGAAAAAGGTATTTAGGTTTTTCACCCTGCCCTTTCTTCCTGGCCCAGATGTTAAAGAGCAGTCATCCGCTTTATTGCAGAAATAGAACAAATAGCTTCGCTTCTTTTTTCCAGATCTTTCTGTTGTCAAGACTTTGCCTGGCCCTCCCTGTCCTTCACGATCCCGCTAGCTCAGAATGGGCTGGCCGTCACAGTCTTAGTCCGCGCATCCTAGCACCCCCTGTGCCGAGCTCGGGCCCCTCAGCACAGTCGTGGTTAATGAAGTCCTTGTGTGAAGGCAGTGGTGGTTTGGGGGTAGAATTTTCTCCTGCCATGCTCCCTTGAGTGGCCACCACTCACAGGTGAGCAACATCATCATGTTGCTGTCATGCTGCGGGTTTAGGCAGAGCTTCCACACAGAGATGGACTGGGGAGAATGGCCTGGGAATCGACGGCTTAAAATCAGCCAGTGCAAAGCCCGTGGTCACTTCTGGGAGTCCAGGTCTCATCCAGTCACGGCAACAATGGCACCGGACTGGGCAGCATTTGGTCCGTGGGCGCAACGTGAGGCCAGGTGCCCATCCCAGCAGCCTACCACAAGAGCACAGCTGTGTACTTGCTGACCTCCTGTGGGGCGTCTCCATTTGCCTGGAAGCTCCAGAGTGCCCTGGTGGCTTAGTGGTTACAAGAAGGGCTGAGATTCAAAAGATTGGCAGTTCAAAGCCACCAGCCGCTTTACGGGAGAAAGATTCAGCTCTCTACTCCCATACTGAGTTACAGTCTTGGAAGCCCACAGGGGCAGCGAGTGTGGTTTTCCATGGTGGCAGGGACATGTGTATCTGTGCAGCCGTGTCTGTGATCACGCTGCTCCTGCAGAGGTGCCTGTCAGCAGTTGTTAATGGAATGACGTCTCAGGACGCAGAGTGTCCAGGCTCATGGGGAAGGTTGGAGAAGTTGACTTCCTGCTGATTCTAAACCATCAAGGACCCTCACCTTGGGCTCCAGTGCTCTGTCCTGCCTCCTGGAGTGTCCTTAGCCAAGTTTCTCTCTGACCCTTGGTTTCTCCTGTCAGATGCAAGTACTAGTCGGACCCACTTCAGAGTGAATTCAAGGGTTAAGTAAAGCAAAGCATGTTATGCACTCGGCTCGATGCCTGGCACACAGAGCCAGCTGCAGTAGGGGTGGGTTGGTTATAATTTTGATCATTAGCGTCAAGAAGCTGGTGGGTAGGGACTAACATGGTAGTCCCAGTCAAGTCTCTCTTGTCCCCAGTTCCCTCTTAATTTTTTGAACAAATTCAGATGAAAATAATGCTGCTTGCTTACTTGAGTCAGGGGCTTCCCCTGTACTCCCCGAGATCTTGGTGAGCATCTTCCTGGGGGTACACACCAAAGCCAGGCTTGGGGCTGGGTGGCCTGGAGAATTTAGGCTTCCTTTACCGTACTTTGTCTTCTAATTCCCAGCTCCCTGGGCCTCCTCCCACCTGGGCTCTGTGTGTGGCCTTCTTGGCAAAGGATGAGTGAGGGTGTTTATTTGCATCAGTGTCTCCATGTCTGGGCATAGGCATAGGTGCCTGCACTTTCTATCCTGTACGCGCGTACACACACAAACACACACACACACACACACTGTGCTGGGGGGCGGGGAGGTCTGGGTGAGAGAGCAGACAAGGGGCCAGGCCCCAGCAGGGCTGGGCAGTAGGCTCCCCCAGGAGTGCTTGTTAGCTTTGTTGCTCTGTACCTACTCTCCTGTTAGCACACCATCCTGTGGCAGTTCGTCACCTCCCTAATGAAGCTGGTCTTTAGCTTCTGGGACAGCTGATTTCCAGGGGATTATTTGTATTACACACTTTAATGCTTTTTAATAGCAAAATTTTAATTAAATGGAAAGTCCTTTTGGAAGCAAGGGAGCAGCAACTGCGGCAGGGCTCACCGAGGCACTGAACGAGGGCCGAGAGGCCCGCCGGAGAGCGAGGGTGGCGGGCTGCACGTGCTGAGCTGGGGTGGGTGGGAGAGCCCAGAGACTGGCTATCATGCTGTCTGCCTGCCCTAAAAGCTCTTCTCCCGTCATCTGTAGGTCTAGGAGCTTGTTGGCCCCAGTGTGGGGAAAACATCAGGAGAGAGCTGCCTCTCCTGCACTCTCTTGGTAAATCTTAGAAACCCTGAGTTTGGGGTGGAATGTGGGATTGAGTAGCCAGATCGGCTCAAATAAGGTAGGCAACATGAAGTATAAACAGTTGTTGGGACCTGGTTCCAGCCCTGGCAGGCCTCCGATTCCTCATTTGGCAGGCGAGGAACAACACAGGGCTATAGCGACGGGAAATGCCGCCGGCACATGGCCCTGAATTCCATGTTGCCCTGTTTTTGCTCTGGTGGGAGATGGGTGTCTAAGGGAGGGAACAGAGCTGCTGCTCAGTGGCTGGCAGTCCCAGCCTGCCACGAGAGAGGTGGTGTGACACTGGGGTTGGGGTTCCTCAGGGAGGCCCCTCATGGTCACACACACCACCACCACCACCCAGACGTCCTGTATCAGACCACACAGAAGCCTTAGTAATGTTTGTTATCAATTTTTATCATAGAATAATGGATGTAAATTGCATATTCTTATGTGAATACCAACAGCAATATGGTTTTGTGAAATCTCCCTTGAATTATAACATTAATAATAACTGAGTGGAAGCCCTTTTTTTTTTTTCCTTTTTTTTCTTATTCTTACTTCATTCTCAGAAAGGTTATTGAGGTAGGTTTACAAATATCATTTACCACAAGGTTGATTGTAGCTGAAACATCAGATATAATCAGCAACTATAAAAGCAGCAGTGGCCATAAACTGCACATGCTCAGAGCGCGTGCAGATGAAACCTCGAGATTTGAAGTGACGTTGTAATTGGATAATAATGACGGCTCTGACCAGAGGGCATTCGGAGGTTCAAAAGAAAATTAGCATAGTGTTTTAACCTTGTAGGTATATTGCTTCATGTAAGCTGGGCTTACTAAAACAAAAAACGTTTGCTTGTTATACTTAACTAAAGGGATCTTTTTATTAAGAAGAATAAGCTTCTGTTGAAAAACCTGCCCCCAATTCTATAGCTGGTTGTTTGGGCACCACCCCTCTGACGATGTCACCCGGGCACTCGAAACTCTCTGTCCCGGCTGGTGATGCCACTGGGGGGATTTCTTTATATCCAAGGACTTCACCAGTCTGTTTGGTATCTGGCCATTCCTTAAGTGTTCCTGAACCTCTTCGGGATTTGGAGCAAAAGCCGTAGAAAGGAAAGCCCTTTGGAACAGAAGCGCCCCGTCTAGAGAGTCCAGGTGGGGAAAGTGGCAGTACCGAGGAGACAGTTGGCCAAGGCACCCAGCATCGAGTTGTGCTTGCATTAGTTGATGCTCAAGGGTTGGCACTTAACCCAAAGGTGGCTTTGTGGGAAAGAGCTTGAAGAGGAGCTCTCAGGAGACATTAGGTTGGTGTTTTGCCGAGAGCTGTGGGGGCAGGGAGCGGGAGGGGCGCCTGCTGGTCAGCTGTTTCTTGCAGCTGATTGGCTCTAGTCTCCTTTGTGCGCTTCCCTTCCTCGATGGCAGTCTCTGAGGACGCCGTGGCTCACTCATGGGCAGGGTTTCCTGACAGCGCTGCTTTGTTGCCAGGACGGGTGGGCTGCCCATCCTTCTGCTAGGAAACAGTGGTGTAGAGAGAGAACTGGGTTTATACCATGACCCACCATGATAAGCCCTTTGACCTTTAGCAAGATATGTTATGTCTCTCAGCCTCCAGTGTGCTCAGCTAATGGGATTCTCTCTCATCTCACCATGATGGTCAGAATAATAACTTCCTTGGGTCAGGACTCTGACTGCCCCCCCCCCATCCTACCACCTAGCACAGTCTAGCACACAGTAGGTGCTTCATCAGTGTTTGTGGAATTGAATGTATATAAAAAGCCTAACACCGGGCCTGGTGAATTGCGAGTGCTGAATAAGCATAACTTTGTTGTTGCCTGACTGTGCGCCATTGCTTCCAGGGCTTCTCCTTCAGCACCATCACTACCCCTCCACCCCCATCACCATCATCCTTACTGTATATGTCGGATCCTGCCTTTCCACCTCCAATGAGGCTGTTGCCACTGTCCCTAGTAGTCAGTCCCGTGTGTTAAGCACTGAGTTGCTAACCACAAGGTCAGTGGTTCTGCTCTGGCCCGTAGAGTCACTGTGAACCGGAATAGCAGCAGGCATACTGTGCTGCCGCCACCACCGCCACCCATTTCCAAGAGTGTTTCTTCACCTAAACAGGAGCTCCGTGCCCTTTAGAGCAGCAACCTCCCCATGCACTCCTGCCCCTACCCCTGAGAACGAGGCACTTTGGTCTCTGCATTTGCCTGCTCTGGCAAGTGTAACTCCGTGGGCTCAGAGGGTGTTTGGCCTTTTCCATTTTTTCCGTCGTCCATGTTGGGCCAGAACTTCTTTTCTTTCCTGACTCAATCACATCCCAATGTGGGTGCCACATTCCATCTTCCTGTCCTCTGGGTGAGCCCTTGAGCTGTTTCCGTGCCTCGGCTACTGTGCACAGATAGCCCTGCAGTAGGCACGTCTCTGCGTGCCTGCTGTTTTTTTTGGGGGGTTGCCCCTAGGATTCGAACTGCGAACCTGTCTGAGGGTGTGGCAGGTTTTCCATCTTGCCCCTTTCCACCCCGCCTCTCCGTCCCATGGAGACACTTGGTGTCCTGCGCCGTTCACCCAGGACCAGCTTCCTGAGGACCGGCCTCTCTCGTGGGGGGTTCTGCTTTTCTTCATCTTATCTGACTTCTTAGCCATGAAACTTCTCTCTCACCTATGTCTGAGGCAGCCTGAGCTGGTGGCAAGTGACTGGGGTCTGGCTGCATTGCTCCCTCCTTGGCCATGTAACCTTGGACTTGGGGGGTATTTGGTTCATTGCCGCCTCACTTGACTGCTCCCTCAGCGAGGCGGACAGGCCAGGGTGGGGGTGGACTGCCGGAGGAGAGGAATAGGATTTCTGCATTTTCTCTCTGTTAATCTCTGTCCCCCTCTCCTCTCTTGCAGTGCGCCTCCATGACAGTATTTCTGAAGAAGGGTTTCACTACCTCGTGTTTGACCTGTAAGTGCCTCTTTCTGAGGGTGTGGCGGCCTTTCCTTCCAGCTGGCTCAAGATGAAGCCTTGGGAAGAGGTCTGAGCTGGGTCTGTAGCCTGGGCCAAATTGCCCTCTCCTTGGCCTGAGGGAAGGACTTGATTTTGAACTTCCTGGTATTGGGACTTATTGTTGTCCAAAGCTCCTGAAGGGAGGAGTGGGGAGGGGGCACGTCTCCCTGGCGCTCGGAATCCCAGCAGTGGCCTTGGCTTTAGCAGTTCTGTTCCCCAGCACACCTTGTGCAGACACGTCTGTCTTGTGTTTTGGCGTATTAACTTGGTGGAAACGGAGAGCACAGCTCTTTGCATGACCTTAAACATTAGGAAATCAAAGGTCGTCCCCAGGCTCCAGTTGCTCTGTCCTCCCCTTTGGCTGCGGGTGTGCTGTGTTAGACGTGCTTCCTCCAGCCCCCGAAACGCCTCTCCCGTGCGTGTCCTTGGTCTCAGCATTCTTCAGCTTGAGTTGTGCTCCAGGAGTGACCAAACAAACGGCTAAGACTTTCTGGACCGTTGGTTACTTTCTCTTAGGGCTCTGTTGCTCCATGTCTGCTTGAGGTTTAGGTAAGCTTTAAGTGAGGAAGAATGCCCAGAAAGAAGGAGGGCCCGGGGACTCCAGCAGGGCCCTGGGTCATGAAAGGGTCCAGTGTGTTCTGGGCTCTCAGATGAAGCGCATAGAGTCAAGGTTTCTCGTGACGTAGCTCCACCGGGACTCAGCTGTGACTCTGTTACCTGGTTGGATACTGGGCGTGGCCGCCGGCTCCTCACCTGTTCTAACCCTTCTCTGTTGGTTTCAGTGTTACCGGTGGAGAGCTGTTTGAAGACATCGTGGCCAGAGAGTACTACAGTGAAGCCGATGCTAGGTGAGGGAAGGGGCCACTGCGGGTCTCACGAGGACCTCCCGTTCCAGGGTAGAGCTGGGGCTCGGGATTGAAATAAACCGCAGCCCCGCTTAGGAGACAGGCGTGTTGCCTACTTGCATAGTCGTGGGGAAGTTAGGTTCAGGAGCCCTGCTGGTGTGGTGGGTTACGAGTTGGCCTGGGCTGCTGCCCATAAGGTCGACTGCTCCTCGGGAAAGAGATGAGGCTTTGAACTCCTCTAAGGTTTTGTGCTCGCAGAAATGGGACAATTCTACTCTCGTATGGGCTCCCTATGAGTCGGAATTGAAGGCATGGCAGTGAGTTTGGAGAGGTTACGGTGCCCTCCCTGGTGGGGCTGGCAGGTAAGCATCGGACTGCTAACCACAAAGCAGGTGCTTCAAACCCACCAGCTGCTCTGCAGGAGGAAGAGGGGGGCTTTCTCTGCACGTGTAGATTGACGGGCTAGGAAACTCACGGGCCCACAGGGGCAGTTATACCTCGTCCTGTCTGCAGTCTATGATTCGCTGGTAATGCGTGGCACAAAAGCCTGTGGAGCGGTTCTCTGCACATATGGCATCCCCGTGAGCTGCAGTCCACTCAGGGCAATTCGCAGCATCAGCACTGACTGAGCCGAGGGACAGAGAGGCAGAAGATATGGTTTCTGCCCTGAGGCGTGTAGACCTCTGGACTAGTGGTCCATCTGGAATCTTCTCAGCTATTTCAGCCTCCATTACTACCTGGTCCCTCCACTCAGCCCTCAGCCCCCAGGTTCCCTGCAGGCCCTGGCAGCTCCTCCACGGGCCGGGCCGGCAGTGATACAGCAGGATCCCACCACCCACAGCTCCCAGCATTGGTTTGGCCTGCCTCTCCTGTCTCCACTGGCCCCAGGTTTTCTCCGAAGGTGATGTCTTTACAACCTGGTTTTGCTCCTCCTGCCTGCAGCTTATCTGGCTGCCTCTGGATAGTGGGGGAATATAGTTTCCACCGAATCTCTTAGCCTTGAGAGACCAATGTTTGCCAATCAACCTCAGATGCATGCTTCAGCCTCGGGGGGAAAAATTCTCAAGTGGGGAGATGAATTCCAATGCCAGCAGGGGAGGACCAACCCAGGGGCTGAGGGAGGACCGAGCTAGGGGCAGGAGGAGGCTCAGGGGAGCAGTGAGAGCTCAGGGCCCCTGGGGGCGGGGGCGGGGGCGGGTGACTGTACCAGTGGGCTTGGCCTAACTGCTGGGACACTTCACATTTTTGCCATTTTTGGCCAGAAGGCTCTCACTGCTTGCCCAGCTCTGTTCTAATTATACATTTCTGTGGAGACTCGCCTCTTCGGCCCGGTCTGAAAATCTTAGGCCCACTCTTCCATTACATCCCACGGGGAGACTTGAGCCTCCACCCCCCGGGACCCTAGGGGTCCCCATGGCCCATATGGGCACTCCAGCAACAGACTGTAGAGAAAGGAATAGTAAGTCTAGATCATGCAGGCCAGTGCACCTCGACACCCCACCTTCCTGCTCCGTGTACCCCGGAGCTTCTGAAGTCTGTAGCCTCAGCGTTCAGGCCACGGTTTCTCAGCCTCAATGCTACATCTTGGACTGATGCTTAGTAGCGGGAGCTGCTCTGTGCATTTTAGGATGCTTAGCGGCATCCCTGATCTACCCACTTGATGCCAGGGTTAGTAGTCCCCCCGGATGTGACAACCAGAGATGTCTGCAGACATTGTCAACTCTCCCAGGAGTAGGGGGCTGGCCAAAACCCTTGTTCTCCTCACACCTACCCTGCTTGAAAACCACCGCGCTTAGACGTCAATGCTGGCTCATGGCCAGGAGTTTGAACTTCACACCTAACTAAGTGGCTTGGGAGGTGGATGACCTGGATTAAGAACCTACAACACCAGGACAGTGCTCGTTTAAGGAACTCTGGTAGCGTTGTGGGTTCTGCGCTGGCTGCTAACCTCAGGTCAATGGTTCAAACTCGTCAGCCCTTCCAAGGGAGAAAAGTGAGGCTTTTTCTTCTCTGCAAAATGTCCGGTCTCAGAGACCACCAGGGGCAGTTCTACCCTGCCCTTACAGGGTCGTGAGGATCGGCATAACTTCTGTGGCGTGAGTATGATGCTGATTGTAGTTAAATGTGTTGTTTCTTAAGGCATCTGTGTCCCTGTTTTGTCTGCTTGGTCTCCCTACTCGATGATCTACTTTAGGGGCTTGTTTGCCTTCATTTTGTCTTTGTATCTTATGCTCCAAGCACGATGCCCCATAGACTCTTGGTAAAGGTTTGAGTGAATGAGTGCCCCAGCCTAAAAGTAGCAGAGCTGTTGTAGTTGGATTCTGCCTCCTTGGTTGCCACCGCAAGCCTGTTCTCCAAGAACCAGAGTTGTTGGGGAAAAGAGAAAGAAGGAAGGGCAGACTTGGATGATCTCTTTTTTGTGGGCCTGGGAAGTGTTCCCTGACACCTTGGACACTGGCCGATTGTGCTTTGGCCTCTCCAGTCAGCAGGAGGCATGATGAGACCATTATCAAGCCTCTTCATCTGCCGGACCATGTGGAAAAAGCGGTTGAACTGGCAATGCACAGTGCCCCTTCGAGCTCAGCATCCAGTGATCCTCTGTGAGGCTGTGGCCCCAGCTTCCGTATTTCAGTCTGCCGCCTGTGGTCACGGTGGAACCGTTAACCCTGCACTGACATCTCTCTTCCTTCTGCTTTTGCAGCCACTGTATCCATCAGATTCTGGAAAGCGTTAACCATATCCACCAGCATGACATTGTCCACCGGGACCTGAAGGTGATTTACCCAGACGCCTCCTTGTCTCCCACTTGTGGCGCGTTGGCACCACCTGGTGCCGGATAGTGGTACTACGTGGGCCTAAACCAGGCTGCTTTGGGGCCTGGGGCCCTGGGTGGGCACCTTACAAGGTTCTCACTGTTCTTCTGCAGCCGGAGAACCTGTTGCTGGCGAGTAAATGCAAGGGTGCCGCCGTCAAGCTGGCTGATTTTGGCCTAGCCATCGAAGTCCAGGGAGAGCAACAGGCTTGGTTTGGTAAGGGTGACCCTGTCTTCCTGGAATGCAGCCCCCGCCCTTCCTTCCCTTCCTGATCAGCCTTCCTCTTGCAGAACTAGAAGCCAGACCCTTAATGGTCCTGGCCTCCTCAGAGACTGCCGGGGGTGGGGTGTCCAAAGAGCTTCCCTTGGCCTAGCGTGACAGGGAATCTAGCTAGCTATTGTCAGTGCTGTGGCTGTGCATTCTTGCTACCTCTGGGGAGGCATTGGGAGTTCTTGGAAGGCATGTGGACTTGCCCTCTGCTTTCCATTCCGAGCAACACAAGAGTCCCAGCTTATCATCTGTTGCTGCCCGGGTGCTGGGAGCTTATACGCAAAAGCAGCAGGAGGGCAAAAAGGACTTGGGGGAATTTGCTGATGGGGATTTAATGAGCGAGAAAGCAGATTCAGCGTGCTCTGCCCTCTCTCCTGCTACAGGGTTTGCTGGCACCCCGGGTTATTTATCCCCTGAGGTCTTGAGGAAAGATCCCTACGGAAAGCCGGTGGATATCTGGGCCTGCGGTAAGCCCATTCCACACCCTCTGCTTCTCAGTGTTAGGGCACTCTCGTCTCGCCAGCGTCATCACCAGACGTCGGGAGGCCACGAGGTCTAGTACACGTGAAGTCGTGGTGTTTGCTCCACTGCCCTGGGGTGGCTGGTCCTGTCACACCCCTTCCCCAAGGGCTTCCTGGATTCCACTGCCTCTTTCATGGCGGTGGGGTTGTCCACACCCTACAGCAGTGGTTCTCAACCTGGGGGTTGAACGACCCCTTCACAGGGGTCGCCTAAGAAAGCACCTATGTCTGATGGTCTTAGGACTGCCTTCCTCCAGGCGGGTCCGCCCACATGCAGACACGCCCACATACGAGTACTCAGCGTGAAGACGGTTACCCATGCTATCCCATGCTTCAAGACATAATTTCATTTATTTTTTCACTAGAAATAAGTATTTCACAATATATAATTACATATTGTTTTTGTGATTAAGCACTGTTTTAATTATGTTCAATTTGTAACAATGAAGATACATCCTGCATATCAGATATTTACCTGACGACTCATAACAGTAGCAAAATGACAGTGATGAAGTAGCAACAGAAATAATGTTATGGTTGGGGGTCACCACCACATGAACTGTATGAAAGGGTCACGGCATTAGGAAGGTTGAGAACCACTGGCCTAGAGGATGGCTTCTGCCTGAGTAATTCCCTGAGGTGACATGGAGTGTGGAGCAGAGTGAGGTCAGGGATACAGCATTATTGGCTGGCCCCCATGTCTAACCCTGGGTTGGCCTTTGATTTTCTGGGTGGCTCTGAGCCCTGTGTGGCTTTTCTCGGTTCCTCGGGGAAGTAGCTGGCTGACCCTGTGACCTGTGTGTTCTCTCTCATAGGGGTCATCTTGTACATCCTCCTGGTGGGGTACCCTCCCTTCTGGGATGAGGATCAGCACAAGCTGTATCAGCAGATCAAGGCTGGAGCCTATGATGTAAGGATGTGCTCACTGGAGAGCGGGGCCACCAAGCCGGGAAGGGCAGCACTTCTGCCCCTTGGGCCCTGGCTGGGGGGGGTGGGGGGTGCTGGGCAGTGTGTTTATCAGTGTGTGTGGTGTGATTCTGAGAACCCAGGGAGGAACATACGGAGCTCAGTTCTTGCCACTCCCGTCCCAGGGAGCGACTCGTTTGCACAGCCTTTCCTGGTAGCTATAAAACTAAGGAGCCAGGTGAAGCCCTTTGATCTGTCACCAGCAAAGGACAGGAGGACATCTTGTAGTGTGCTCAAAGACTGGGCGCTGCTCCCCGGCAGTGGAACACTGGGCACCTCTCTGTTCTTCGGATAGAGAGCCAGAGATGACAGAGGGCCCTTCCAATCTGGCTCTGATGTTCTGCCTAGCCTTGATTCCTTACCCAGTTTTTAAGTTGATCAAAGTTCTGCAGCATTCTCGGGGGGGGGGGGGGGTTCCCAACTCTCTGCAGGGCAATTTTAGGTGTCACACTGAGGGGCCCTAGTTATAGGAGTTGGGGTGAAGGCAGAGCCAGCCTGCCTTTCAGAGTGTGAGGTTTACACACTACGTACCCCTGCTCCCCCACATTCTGTTCTTCAGTTCCCATCACCAGAGTGGGATACAGTGACGCCTGAAGCCAAGAACTTGATCAACCAGATGCTGACCATTAACCCAGCAAAGCGCATCACAGCTGACCAGGCTCTGAAGCACCCATGGGTCTGCGTAAGTATCTCTTGTCTGGAGTGGAGGGATACGGGGCGAGGCGCCGACCCTCAGGATGCTCCTCCAGCCTCCGAGGGAGAAGGCCCCGTGAGGGCAGAGGACTTAGAGTGTCCCCAGGGGGAGCTGAGAGAGGCCATCTCAGTGTCGTCAGAGTGTGATTCATTCCGTGCTGGAGGAGGGTTAGGCTGATCTGTGCAGACTTCGGGGTGTTGACAGGAGAGATGGCATAGTCAAAGCTGGGTGTGCGGACCCCGTTCTCCACTGTTACAGCCCTAATGTGACCACGACCAAGCACATACACAGAAGGCACCTCACGTAGTCCAAGAGAGCCTCCTGAAGCTCAATCACCGAAGCTCAGGTGCTGAATTCCTAAGACAGCCCTCTGGGCGAGCAATGAGGGCGACGGGTTCTGTTTCCATGCACAGTCCGATCAAGCTGACATCTGTGCTTTCAAGCAAGAGGCTCGACTGTAGTTAGACTTCCGGTCGCCCAGGATGCACTTACTTATTCCTGTTTATTGAGGGCTCATTGAATGTCTGGTCACTGGAGATAAGGAGGTAATAAAAGAGTCTAGTGAGAACTGGGGAACATCACCTGTCCCTGGTGGGGAATGGGCTTGCTCAAGGCGGCGTGACAACGGAAAGCTTTGACATGGTGCCTAGAGATGAATAGAGGTCCCTAGCATGACGGCTGTGAGACAGAAGTTGGTGTGGGAAACGGGGGCATGTTCAAGGAATGTTAAGTGATTTCTTTGTGGACTGGGGTTCCACCACAGAAATGTGAGATAATGAAGCCAAAAAGATTCCGTGACATACAAGCTTCTGCTTAAGGAGTTGGGGTTTTATTCTGAAAGGCTTAGGAGCCGTTTGGAGAGTTTTAAAGCGGAAATGAAATTTGCGCTTGGGAAAGATTGCTCTGGAACTAGAAAATGAAATTGAGGAATACAGAGGCTAGAGGCAGGAAGCTGTTGTAATTATCTAAGCAAGACTGAGTTCTTCAGCCAAGGGCGCTGGTGAGGGAGGGAGGGAGCAGTGTGGCAGTGAGTGGACAAATCCGAGAGAGATTTGGGAGTTAGAATTAAAAGGATGTAGTAACCAGTTGGATTTTGGCGTTCAGAGTAGAGAGAGGGCTGTACTTTTCCCTGGCAGAGGAAAGCCAGGAAGAAGACCTGGTTTGTGAGGGGGAAAAAGAGTTCAGTTTTGTACATGCTGAGTGTAGTCTGGGAGACCTCTGAGTGGAGACATCAGTGGATAGCTAGAAATCTGTCCCTACAGATTAAACCAAACCAAGCTTGCTGCTAGTACAAGTCAATTCCAACTCCCGTGATCCGACAGGACAGAGTAGACCTGTCTAGTGGTTTCCGAGACTGTAAATCTGTAAGGGAGTAGAAAGCCGTTGCTTTCTCCCATGGAGCGGCTGATGTTTTCAAACGATTGACCTTGGGGTCAGTAATTGAGCGCACCACCCACCGCACCACCAGGACTCTGTTCCCTGTTTTATGGAGCCTCTTCCTGTAGGTTAGGTTATTGCTCTATAGAGGGGGGTGGTCTGTGCTGTTCCGAGTCTTCCTGGAGTCCGTACTGCTGCCGGAAGAGGAAAGCTGGCCAGCACTGGCACTCCAGGACCGTGATGGGGAGAGGAGGCGGAGGATGGGAAGGCCTGGTGGAGGAGCAGGCTTGGGAGCAGGGGCTACCTGGTGCTGTCGCGCCCATGGTAAAGGTGGGAAGTAATTCCTTGGCAGAGCCAGTTGGAGGCCAGGGTTTCGTTGCCTCCATGGTGGGAACAGAAGCCTGTTTTTGGAGAGGTGTGAGGGACGGGGATGTGGAGGAGAGCATAGATTGCACTTTCAGACAGCTGCAAGATGATGGGAGAAAGGAGTGGCATTCTCAGTTGGCCATGGATGGATCAGGGAGACGTTTTGGGTTGGTAGTTGATTGGTGGGTTGGTTTTTTTGTTGTTGTTTTCTTTGGGTTGGTGGTTGAGTCCCGTTGGAGGGCTCGGCCCTGCATGTGAGGAGTGATGGGGGTGAAGGCAGGTGAGGGCGAGGGGCTGAAGTTGAAGGAATACTTGTTTAGTTGCTTGTTTCCTTGTGCAGAAGTTTACATTGAGGAGGCGGGCGGCCTGAAACAGGCTTGGGGAAAGGTGGAGAAGATTGAGGAAGCTACTTTGAGAACTAGGAAGGACAGTGGACCCAGGACTGAGGGCGGGTTGGGGGCTCCCAGGTTGTAGGATTGGCTTTTGTGTTTTGTCTTTTCCAAGCAAGCTGGCCAAGGTAGCCCCTAGTCAAGGGAGGGGATGAGCAAATTCAAACAGAATGAGGGAAGTATGACGTTCAGGGATCATTTTTGTGACACACATTTTCCACAGTCCTCTCTATCTCAGCAGTCCCTGCGGAACTCATTATGACAATGTGTAATCATTGACGACCCCGGGTCATCAAGGGGATGTCACGCGCTTCCAGGAGACCCTGTTTCAGGAGGCAGGGACGAGAGGAAATCATTTCCTTCTCAAATGATTCCCCTGGGAGCACAGCTTCCCTCCAGACTGTGGCAAATGGGTGCCGAGGGGCTCTTGGGGGGAGCAGTTGGTTCTCCGTGAAGAGCAGGGGCCGTCCAGGCGCTCGCTGCTGGCGATAGACGCCTAGAAGAGAGCAGTTACGAGGAAGCATCACGACACCAGGGTGCTCTCCCATCCCGGGAAGAGTGGCTGTTCTCTGGGGCATTGTCCCGGAGCAGCAATTATCAGCGATGGCTTAGTGTTCAGATTACGTCACCCTGAGTTTGGGGTAGTGCTTTCCTGCTAAAAGCATGTTCACATCTGTGAGCTCATTTTCTCTCTGGAGCAACTCTGCGGTGGTGAGTGCCAGCTGTGTATGTGACCTCACCCTGGACACACCATTAGTGCTGGGGTCATGGGGAGGGCAGAGAGCTGGGCTGGGGACTCACGGGCCTGTCTGTCTGGTTTCCAGCAACGATCCACAGTGGCCTCCATGATGCATCGCCAGGAGACTGTGGAGTGCTTGCGCAAGTTCAATGCCCGGAGGAAACTGAAGGTAAGTCTTGCCTGCTGGGCTACAGTATCCTGAAATCGTGCTTCGGTAGGGCACCCATGGCCGTCCCGTCTCCTGGCTGGGGCTGAGCTATGAAGGTTGTATGTGGGAGGGCCCAGAGGCCTGGTGTCTTCTGCCTCTAGCTAGGAGCCGCATTTGCCTGAGGTTAGGCCACCTATTTTTCGAGTCCGTTGAATTCACAGAACCCTCCTTTCCCCGCAGGGCGCCATCCTCACGACCATGCTCGTCTCCAGGAACTTCTCAGGTATGTCTTCCCAGCAGGGCGTTCTCGTTCTCTGAGGTGAGCGGGTCAGGAGGCAGGTGTTGCCATCTCAGGCAGCCCGGAGCTTGCCGGACATCACCTTGAGCAGGGTGATGGAGGATCCTGAGCTGAGGGGCTGCTGCGCGACCGGGTCCTCTGACCCGGGATCCCATGGATGGGCTGTGCTTGGGCTCAGACATCCGAGTAGCGTTCCAGAGTCCTCCACCTGCCTACCTTCGGTTTGTCTCCGAGATTCCTAACTTAATTTTCTGAAAGCTCGCAGCATTTTGAGCTTTTAGCCAGTTCAGACCCCTGGAGGATGTGCTGGAAGAGAAGAGAGAGGATGTAGTGAGTCTGTTCGTCTCCTCCACTCATTTGCTGATGGAGACACCCACGCTCTGTTGTGTCCAAGCAGAGACTGTGAATAGAGCTTATTCCAGGCGCTGACCCGTTCACGACAACCTAGGCTGGAACTATTCTCTGTGCTCATCGTGAAGCTGGGAGCGTGCAGGCATGGAGACCAGCAGGAGGGGCAGGGTAAAGACCTGGCTCCGTTTGCACGAGGATCCGGGAGTGAGGATTCATGATTTGGAAGTCCACTCGACATTTCTTTTTCAAGATGCAAGACACTCCAGCTCTCCCTCTCCCTACCCCCATTGTTGTTTGAATGCAGTTGGGACGCTCAGTGGCTTTTCCGTGAGCGGAAAAAAAAAAAATAACCTTAAGACTGAAAACAGGTCTTCCTGATTCCCTAGCTTTTCTCCACCCCCACCCCCCACCCCACACACTTGGGAGCACACTTGGCTTTGCTGTTTTTGGTTCAGGACACACATATACACCCCGCCCGCCTTCTCTCATTTTCATAGAGAAGGCTTTTTCTCAGCACAGTCGTAGAGAGGGGATGAAATGGGAGTGCTAGCGACTTCTAGGTAGAATATTCTTCCCACTGGGGCTGGGTTACCAGAGAACCGGCTCTGAGGATGTTGCAGGTGAGCAGACCCTGAGCTTCACAAGCTCTGCCCCACAGGGCTCCAGCGGCACCAGGCCTGGACAGTGGGCCCCTGTGACCTCTTGTTCTGGGTGTCTGTGAGGGCACAACTGTGATTCTGGGTTCATCGCTCCCAAATGGTAACCAGAGTCCTGCCTGCTGCTGCCGCCTCTGTTAGAGGTGGCACTTCAGCCCCACTTCCTGCTGCTTCTCCCAACTGCTTACAGCCTCGACTTTCTGGGATTGAGAGCCTTTCCAGAGGGCACTCAAGGGCATTACTGTGCTCACTAGACCAGTGATCTTCACCTCTCCTTTCCGAGTCAAAGAAATGTGAAGACAGACTGCTGCTTCTCTTCTTTCATCTTGGAAGCCAGTCGTACGGGCCGTTCCTGTGGCCTCCACATCATCTTTCTACCGCTGCCCCACCCTGTTTCAGGAAACCTGTGTCCTAGGGTCAGGAAACCAAGCTATTAGGACAAAAAGCACTCCCACTCGTCCCTAAAGAGCCTCCTCCCTCCTCCTGGGCATTGAGCTCCCCTGCCCTGGGTCCGAGGACTGGCTCTGCTGGGGTCATTTCAGCGTGACGGGGCCAGCAAGCCCTATGTCTAGGAGTCTGGAATGAGATCTGTGGTTGTAACCCAGGAAGATGGGCACCGGTGGGTTATATTTTAGGGACGAGCTGTGCTTTTTTCTGAGACAGCCTGGGAGTCCCTGGGTGGCCCAAATGGGTGCACACTCAGCTGCTAACCCAAAGGTTGCGTGTTCAAACTCACCAAGAGGAACCTCAGAAGAAAGTACTGGTGATGTGCTTTTGCCAGGTCACAGCCACAACGCTGTGAGCACAGATTGACTCTGAGCACCTGGAATCACTGTGAGTAGGAGCCACCTGGATGGCAGCTCTCCTGGTCTTTTCTGTTTGCTCAGTGAGCAGAGCTTAGCCCCGGACTCTATCAGCTGGGCTTGAGGTGAAATCAGAGCTTCTAGGTTGTGTTTGCTTCACAGCCTTTGTGGCTTCTTTTGGTTTGGTTTGGGTTTTTTGAGGGCTCATTTCTCCATCATCTGCACTCTCAGAACACCATAAGATCTGGACTGAGAAAACCCCTGCCCAAAAGGGCCTGTGCCTCTGAGTAGGTGGGCCGCGGTGGTCAGGGGTCTTTCCTTTGAGTGTGGCAGGGAGGAGGGCTCCCTCGGCTCCTGGCTCTCTGATAATGCCCTCACTTACGTCCTAAGCAGAGCAGCTCTGACAGGGAGACTCACTTTTCTCCCGACAACCTTAGGGGATGGGTGGCCTCTCGGTTAACCCTTGTGGCTCTGCTGAGCTTGTTGTGGGACAGGTGCTGAAGCCACGTCCAGCCAGCAGAGCCGTGGCCTCTTCCTCTGCTCCATCTCAGGCCCCCAGACTGCTGCCTCATCAGCCTGCCCCCCACCACCCAGCCCCCTGTCGCCTCTGCTCCCCCCGCCCCCAGCTTGGCTGGCTTGGCCACGCCACCTGGGCGCTGCTATGTGGGCGGCCAGCGGGTTCCTGCGCCTCGGCTGGGGCATGCTCGCTGCTGGCAGCCCCCGTGGCTTTGCGGCAGCTCTGTGCACTGAGAGATTGTATCCCCTCAGTTGGCAGGCAGAGCTCCGCCCCCGCCTCGCCTGCCGCGAGCGCCGCCGGCCTGGCCGGGCAAGGTACGTGGCATGAGTCCTCCCCGACCGCCTGTCTCGGCTCCCTGCCACCCCACCAGGAGGGCCAGCATGCCAGGCCCACTCACCAGGGAGACCAGTCCCCTGCTTGCGAGCTGAGATGGGCATGCCGGACGGATGACCTAACCTGGCATCTGCAAGCGCATTGGTGTTCCGAAGCCCCCTAACCAGCCGTGCATGCTGGGCGCTTGCCGACTCTCAGGAGGCAATGGCCTGGGGGACGTGGAGCTGGCCGGCAGGAGAGCTTTCTTCCAGGCAGCCTGAGAAACCGACCTGCCGACAGGGGTCCAGGCAGACTGTAGCTCTCCAGCAGCACTTTGGCCTGCCCTGCCAGTGCTCACGCTAGACCACCAGACCCCAGGGAGGAAGCCAAGTCGCTCGAAACGGTTGACTTCCCATGTTCTTAGGACCAACACTAGAGTGCAGTAGTTTGGGGCTCCTGCCCTGCCACCGCCTAAGCACCTCACTCCCCTTTAGTTTCCTCATCCGTCCAATGGGGAGAATGAGTCACAGTGGGGATGCCGACGGCTCACAGCCCTGTCTGTCTTGGACAATTGTGATGTGGGAGCCTGTAAAAAAACGCCCTGGCACCCAGATCCGATCCGAGAGCAATACAATCAGGACCTCTGGGTGGGTAGGCTAGGCGTCAGCATTTTGTTTCCCAGCTCTTCCCAGGGGATTGCCAGATTCCGGCTCAGCATTTACAAGAGCCAGGCGGTCAGCCACACTTCAAAGAAAAAGCTCCAGCTCACCCCAGCGTGACAGGGACCTGGTCCTGAATGAGACCAGAGGGCATCTTTGGAGTCCGGATTCTCCTGACGGAAGTACCTCTGCTCTCACTGGAGAGAGAGAGAGAGAGAGAGAGAGAACACGGTTTGGGGTGGGAGTGGCCCCATGCGTGGAAGAGTGGTAGCAGTCCTGATCACCGTGAACACTCTTTGAGCACTTGATAGATCCCAGGCACACTGCCAGTGCTTTTCAGGTGTGGTCCCTTGGTCCCCACCACTAGACGCAGGCCCTGCTAATCCCCACTTTATAGTTAAGAAAGTAAAGCTCTGAGAGGTTAAGTAACTCACCCAGAGTCTCACAGCCAGCATGTCGTGGAACCAAGCTGTGGCCAGGGCAACCCAAATGGAACAGACAGTTCCGTTTCCACCACCCTATGCCTCCCAGACTCTCCCGCCTACTGTCTGCTACCCTCCTGTGCCCTCTGTGGCCAGCCCGTGTCACCAGGTATAAACACAGAGCCCATCAGCCTTGAGCCTCACCCTGTGCCTGCCGAAATTTGATGTCTTATTATTATGCCCAGTCTTTTCTGCTTTTGAGTCCAGAGAGCAGGCTCAGGGCAAAGTAAGCCTGGTGAGGACCTGCCCAGTCAAGGCTTCAGCCCCCTGGCGAAACCCTCCTGTAGGTGGTCCCGGTCTGTGTGCCCTCGTGAGCTGTGACGCTCTGTTTCTTGAACACTCAGGAGATGTCTTGCATCCTTCCAGCTTGGCCGTCCTGATGACCGATCCCCATGGCACCGAGGGCCTGAGCCCGCACCCTTTCACCCCGACACTCTGCTTCTGGGCCTGGGTTGGAAGCTGTTGAAGGGAGAGTCCCAGTGTCCCAGGCAGCTCCATTAATGAGCACCGGTTTCTCCTCCGAGTGTGTCCCTGTTTCAGCTGATCCCTCTCCTGCGGCAGAGGCACATCGGCGGCGCCCAGGAAATCCTGGGCACTGCCTTGAAGGCTCTGAGGGTGCACGAGATGCCCTTCACGCAGAGGGGCCTCCTCCAGAGGCAGGACAGATGCCGTGACTTCTCAAGTTCACTTAGTGCTTCCAGATGCCGGAGCCTGGCTCCCTGGTCAGACACTCCGTCTCCTGAGGACCTGGCTGCTGGACTTCAGGCTGGAGAGACGGTGCGATGCTGGATTCATTGTCCTCTTTGTTTTCACAGCTGCCAAAAGCCTACTGAACAAGAAGTCAGATGGCGGGGTCAAGGTAAGAGCCTTTGCCCCGGTGGGCAGAGCCTGGCCTCTGTATCTCCCAGCAGTCACCATGGGGAATTCTTAGCCCCACCGTCCCCCATTCCCTGGGAACCTTCCTATCCTGGCTCATCTGCTGTAAGCCGGTATCTCTGCCTCAGAACAACAGGTTCCACTGGCCTTACAGGGAAAAAGGGAGAAAGGTTTCCCTCGACCCTAGGGTTTAGAGTTAGTGGTGATCCAAGTTATGGAGCTGAACCCTGAACCCGACTTCCAAATGCTTATCTTGGGGTCAATTCTCAGGAGGATGGGGGTTTTAAGGGCATTTGGTTACACACACACACACACACACACCTTTTTTTTTTTAACAGCAACAAGTTATTTTTAGGAAATAAAAGTCGTTTGCCTTGTTGACTCAGGGTATAGAACTTGAAACCTGGAGCCACTATTCTTTTGGCCTGTTTCCTTGTCCCCAAAGCACCTCCAGACCCAGCTTAGACACCCCTGAGTGAAAGTGGCTTAAGCTCTCTAAAGGCATAGTGTTCCTCAGACACAAACAGGAGACGTATGTTAGGCACATTCTCGTTGAGCAAGAGAGCTTTTCCTGTGGGACCAGAGCAAGAGGAGGTATCAGGAACCTGCAAGGACCAGCAGCAAGCCCTGGAGGGAGCGGCTGCTTGGCAAACAGGAGTAGGAGGGGCTGCGTGGACTGACAGGCCGAGGAGTTCTGTGGCTGCTTCGGGGCAGAAAGGGGATGGCTTCTGGGGCTGGTCATTGGGTATCTGTCTATACGTACTGTCTTGAAGCCTGCCAGCTTTAAACCGAGAACGTTCAACATGAGCTTCCTCCCAGGAGCGTGCGTCCACAGCTGAGATACACTGTGTGCCCTCTTACTCTCCCCCCATCCCTCCCTCTTCCCCTGATCATCTCTGCTTGCCCGTGTGACGCTGCTGACAGGGAGCCCTGATTGACGGGCACGCGCTCATCAGGGAGAGGCACGGGAGGAAAAGGGAACACATTTGGTTGGAGAGAGGCTTGTGGGTCCTTCTACCAGGAGAAAGACCCAGAATTATTTCACTTTTGCAAAGTAGGTAGTATGTGCCTTTCTGAAGCCCAGTGCTGAGCTCAGCTCTGAGGGACACATAGAAGAAGAATAAGAGGACATGTAATCTCTTACGAGGTTTCAATGTTAATTGAAGAGGGAAAAAAAGACATGTTTGGAATAGGCCAAACCCTAAATAGCATATGGTTGTGGGCCCTAAGTATGGTGGCATAGTCTAAGAAATTTCTGGGGATACATTTAAAGTCACTTTTAAGAATTAGATTAAATTGTAAAAGCAACAAAAAAATATTTTTGCGGATTCTGTTGTACCCGTTGATGAACTCTGCTTCACTGAAAATGGAGGGTAAATGGAAGGCTATGAAAAAGGTGGCTGGACTGTCTGTCTGTTTGTCTGTCTGTCTGTCAGAGGCACTAGAGGTTTGTTCATGGAAAATAACTGAGTAAGAAAAATGTTTGTGGAAAGATTGGGCTAAGGCTACAAGGGCAAATGGGAGGGAAGGAAATTGACAAGAACGTTTTAATTAGGAATTGTTTTAATTTATGTATATGTAGAGAAAGGGGGATCAGAGATGATAAGGTGCCATGTTCAAAGTACTTAACCATCAGGAAAGCACAGCCAATCAGAACGGGTCTACTGCCTACAAGAAACTAGCCCAGCTGTACCAGTGAATGGTGGGCCTGGTGGGCGTGTCCTCTCGAGTAGAGCTGTAAAGGAAGGTCCGTTGAGCATGGGAGATTAAGAAGGGGATCCGACAAAGAGAAGCACGATGTTTCTAGCCTAGAGTGTTTGTATTAAGACATTTGTAGCGTTGAGCCTCACCCTGTGCCTGCCGAAATTTGATGTCTTATTATTATGCCCAGTCTTTTCTGCTGTAACCCAGGAAGATGGGCACCGGTGGGTTATATTTTAGGGACGAGCTGTGCTTTTTTCTGAGACAGCCTGGGAGTCCCTGGGTGGCCCAAATG